GTGTGTGTGTGTGTGTGTGTGTGTGTGTCCGCAGCAACTTGTCCGCAACTTTCAACTTGGGAACCAGAAAAGCTAGGAAGGTGAAAATTTAGGGGAACGTTCCCCACCCGCGTGTGACCCTGCAAATTTAAATTCAGCTTTCCCGCACCCGCGGGTAACACGTATGGCCCCGTGAAAGTTTTTTATGGGTAAATTAATATCTCGGGAACCACGGAGTCTAGGAGGCTGAAAATTTTCGGGTAATGACCCCCTGCTCACACTCTACCTTGCCTATTCAAATTCAGCGTTCCCGAGTTTCCGTGATTCTTGAGTATCACTTACGGCCTCGTGAAAATTTTGGCAGATAAACTATTATCTAGAGAATCACGGAAAGATATTCTCCTTTCAGGGGTTCGAATTTAGCTTTCGTGCGCTGGTGCATGAAATTTTCAACCGTTTTCCAATGTTTGAACTATTTTTGCAAATACTAAAGTGCAAAGCAGTGAAAATCGTTAATGGGCAATCGTTCGAGGGCTGAATTGCACAAACACATGATCGCACCGGCTAGTCTGGTGCGCGTTACTATTTATTTTTAGTGTTTCAAAATGCCCTTCTTTTTTGAGTCTCTTTTCTAGTTCATATTTCAGCTTAATTGATTGGTTCAGCTATCACATGTCGAATTTTGAGTATCGCTGGTCCTGGTCCGATTGGAGTGATTGTGTTGAGTTAGACCGTCTTGCGCCGAGGCACATGTTTGTACGCGAGGTACGATTATCAGCTAGCAAAATTAACCGCTCAATTTATCACTGTATATCTTCTGTATTTTGCATAAGTTGTTGTATATTCACTAAATATGTTCATTATTAAGGTGGTGGACAGGTGCATGCGATTTTCCTATCATCAGAAGCTTACGGAAATTTTGCCTCCAGAATTTGGAAAAATGATACCCGAGAAACCAGTTATTTGCTACGACCTTAACGATGGTATCTTGATTCTTCAGTTAGCTGAAAATTTCATTTTTTTTTTAAACTTTCAATATTTTGGTCAGTTCTTCAAGATTGTTTGTTAATATTGCAACAAGTGTACCACAACTTTTCGATCAAAAAGATCAGCTCTGCTTTTCAGCCGCCAAGTGAAGGAGTAGTACTTTTAAGCCTGTTCAGTGTTAAGGTTGGTACCAACAGCAACAAATCTGAGATACATTGCTTGTATCCTTCTACCTGCGCCGAATGAAAATGCTGGAAAATCTTTTTTTATCCGCGTTCGATTTATGACACTTGCAAATTTTTAGTAATTTCTGGCAGCTGATACGGAAAAAATCCGAAAATTTTTGTTTTCTGAAACTTTCAAAAATTTTTGTTTATCAGTTGCGCTGTTTTTTACGAACAAATCACCACCTCCTTTTTTTTCGGTTAAATCTTTAGAAGTGACGTAAAGGAAGACTTAAAAGGGAGGGAAGAGAAACTAACTTTCAGGAGTATTGACTGAAATTGATAGTTCTTGGCTGTTTCATCCGCAGCCCCATCCGAGCTGGTTTTTTCTGCCATTAAAGTTTCACGAAGAAGTTGATGCTTAGGTAAAGTTGAAAGCGAATAATGTAAAACATAGACAAAATGAGTGTTTTAACCTACGAGACAAGAGATTTTTAGTTGTACAAAGTGACGTCCGCAAACTTTATTAAAATAAATATTCTTGATTTCTAACAAACAAACATCAATAAGATTTTGAATTACAATTGCATAAGTATCACTTATTTGCATAAACCCATGT